GAGAAAGAGGGGCACAGACTGTCCAGCAGGGCCTGGAGCCACAGGACAAGGGGTGACGGTTTTAAACTAAAAGAGGGGAGATTCAGGCTGGATGGAAGGAAGAAATTTTTGGCAAGGAGGGAGGTGAAGGTTGCCCAGAGGGGTGGTGGATGCCCCATCCCTGGAAACAGCCCAGGTCAGGCTGGACGGGGCTCTGAGCAACCTGCTCTGGGTGAAGATGTCCCTGCTCACCGCAGGGGTGGGATTAGATGGTCTCTAACAGTCCCTTCCCACCCAAAGATTCTGTTTTTTTTTCCTTTCCCCGCCTCGAGGGGAGAGTGGTGCCGATGTGGTGTGCACTTCGCAGGCAAGACAGGAAGGCTTGAAGCTTTGTAAGACGATTTTTGGGTGATGCTACTTGCCCCGCGGAGTCTGGCAGGGTACGACCCTTATCCCTGCCTTGTGTCGCACTGTCCAGGAGCCTGGCAGGGATCCCTGAGCTGGTCAGGCCAAGCTGGGGTGCTGTGGGTTGCACGAGGCACGTGCTGCTGTTCCCAGGGATCCATAGCCACGTCTCCCGGCGTTCATCTCCCCGAGCCCTTCGATCGTGGGGACCTCCTGAACCCACCGGGCTCCTGAACCCATCGAAGGGTAGACATGTTTTAGGTGTGTGATCATAGGTGTAATGTTAGGCACAAATTAAACAAGTTAGGAGTGTGTCTCTGGGACTGTTTAGGGGAGACTTTGGGTTTTTTGGATCCCGGTTAGACTCGGGTGCAAGATTGCCAGAGCTGAGCAGCTTACTGCCGAAAACCCGGAGCCTGCGCAGGAGCGTTTTGCACGTTTAGTCACATGTCATCAGCAGTTTGAGGAGGGAGCTGCTGGACTTGGGCACCTATTTCTTCACCTGCAGTTTCCATACTCCACAGACCCTGGTCTCTGCTGCTCAGTTTGTTGTGTATCCCTTTGACTGTTCAAGGAGCTGCAGGATTTCCAATATCTGGGAAATAGGATGGCTGTGAAAGTGGGAGAGGTGCTTAATCAGGAGTTATTTAACTTCTGGTGCAGCTGTGGCTCTTCCTAGAGCCCCCCTCCTTCCCTCCCTCCTGCAGAGGAGCTGGCACCGGAGCTGTCGAGAAGCTTTGCTGTATCTGGTTTAGTTTGGGGTGTTCTTATTGTCTGTAATAAGAGTCAGTACCCTGCCCTGGTACCCGACACGTAATGTTAACTTTTGTCTGCAGCGACTAATTTTTATCTCTCCGAAATGATTTTTCAGGCCTCAGGCTACACTGGATGAACTGACTTCGCCGTTCGGGTCCAGCCCACCAGCAAAAACATCTCACACCTCCCAGAGAAGCAAGAAAGCGAAAGAGCTCTGCAAGCGCTCCAGAGATCAGATGATCATTGTAAGGTTCCCCTCGGGACGTGCTGGGTCCTCGGGGTGATTTGGTGGGAAGGAAACAAGAAATGTGTCTTCAGGCTAACCGATAAGACTTCCTCACGTGTAAATCTCAAACCAGCCAGGCTGTAACGAGCATAACAGGGCAGTGATTAACGTATTTAGCGCTAGAGGAGAACGGGGTAGTAGCTGGGAAATACTTCGTTATGGTTTCCCTGGGACTAACGCTTTATTACATCTTAGAATTCAAAAGAGATTTATGGAACATAACATTTAAAAAACAACCCAAAAAGAAACTCAGCCAAGCCTGTATGGATGCTATAGGAGTGAGTTTGGCTGGATAATTTTCCTTTCCCACGGCTTCCTGGCCCGCTGTGCGAGCCGAGTCAGCACAGCACTGCAACCGCAGCGGCGAACGTCAGCCCGGGCAGCACGGGAGGCGGGGGTGCGCGCCCGAGGCGGGGATGCGCGCCCGAGAGCTCGCTCCCTCGACCAGCCGGTCCCTCTTCGGTAGCTCCGCGTCCGCCTTCCTGCTGTTGCCCTTCAGTGCGGAGTTCCGGTTCTGGAGCAGCAGGAGGCCAGAACGGTGTTGCTGAGGCTCGCGTGTCGCCGTCACGCGTATGCCTTTCCAGAAAATACGCCCTCAGCGATGAGTAATTTTTTAGTAAACCATTTGTTCTCACTTGGTGACATGCAGACGTTTTCAAGCCTGTTTCCCGAGCGAACAGAGCTTATGTGATCATTCTCCTCTGCTGATCTCCCCTTTCTAGCATCCTTTGAGAGAGGTTTGGGTGATATCTGTCAAATTTGAGAGCTCACAGATACAAATTTTTGAGTGTTTTGAAAACTGGTCTCTGTGGAAGGGAGAAACCCGGAGGAGTGCCTGCGCTGAGAGGGAAGCAGCAGTGCCTGCTCAGCAGCCATCGCTACCCTGAACACAGCTGGCCGGCGAGCCACGAGCTCCAACCCCGCCTGCGCCTCACCGCTGGGCCCACGAGGGAGAGGGGACAGGCTGTGGGTGCTGTGACGGGGGGAAGCCCAAACTGGGACGTGGGGAGGGGAAAGCAGCCAGTGCAGGGAAATAAGACGAGTCCTTAACAAACTAGGCATCGCTTCACCTCGCTACTTAAAGATCGATCTGCTGTTTGCTCGCGCAGCCGGTGTTCAGTGCCTTTTATTCCCCTCGCTGTGGACTGACAGAGAGAAAAATGAGCTTGTTTTTAGATAACTGATAAAAAGACTATAAGAGTTTTCTTTTGGTTATTTGTGGTGCTCTTTTACATTGCTTCCTCCCGGAGGATGTTGCTGTTCTATTTCAAGGCTCATTCCAAATAATACATTCATTGTGTAGTTCTAAATATTCGGCAAATAAGCAAAAGCTCATCCTCCTCTTCACAAATTCAAATGAAAACAAATACCTGAATCTTTGATGCTTGTTGCTGGAGCGAATTCTCAACCTCATTCCTTGAACTGAATGTGGTTTTGAACAGCTATGGAGTGTTTAGCTGGCTCTGTTTCTCACTAGGACGCTGGTCAGAAACATTTTGGTGCCATAGTTTGCAAATCGTGTGGCATGATCTACACGGCCGCTAGCCCGGAGGATGAAGCCCAACACATCCAGCACCACGAGAGATTCCTCGAAGGACTCAGATATGTGGTAAGGCGATGGCTGCGCTCACGGCTCAGCTGAACAAGATGGGGGGGAAGTGGTGCGTGATATCCAGGTACAAAGTCAAGACAAGTGCAGGCAGATGTGGTGCGGTCAACACGCCTGAGGGA